ATTCTGAAAATTTAATCTTCATTTCAAGGTATAATGGCTGGACTAATCACTTACGTCTAGTTATCACAATGGACTAAACACGTTATTAGCAAGCCTAAATGTTCTTTGTTTAGTTTTTATAGTTTATATTTTTTAAGTGCCATATGACGATATCCGAGTAATTCAATTTTTATTGAATTGTTTAAAAATTTATTAGGTATTTAATAATATATTATATTTACTATCATTTTAGAATTTTCTAGGAATATTTTATACAAGATTTTTTTTATTTAAACATACAAAACCCACATCAACCACCAAGGGTTATTAGTGGGGGGAGATATACAGTAGTACAATTTGATAAATTAAAGTTTATTATAAATGTTTATGTCTTTTAGAAACTGCAATGAATCCGAGATATTTGTCGTAAGCGCACTTCTCAGGTTTCCACTCATTCCTCGGCATATTCTCTGAGGTTGGAACTGCGGACAGTCGACTATCAGATGCTTCACGGTGAGTTGAGTAGAGCAGTAGGTACAAATTGGAGCTGGTTCTTTATTTAAGTGTTGGTGTATTAGTATTGTGTGGCCGATTCGAAGACGATTTACGATTACTTGATCTCTTCTTTTTCCTTGTTGTGGTAGGCTGGCGTCTACTCGAGGTTTTAATGTTTTTAACTTAGAGTCTGTTGCATCCCAGGTTGCTTGCCATAAATTTATTATATGATTCACGGACTGTCGTTTATGGTCGGTGTGGGGATATTTAGTAATTTCTGGAACATTTTCATTTTTGATGGATTTTAATGTCAATTCATCAACTTCCTCGTTGCCTTTAATGCCAATATGTGAAGGTATCCAGATAAATGTAACCTTTTTATTTATATGGTGTAGTGCATTAAGTTCATTTCTTATATTTTGTGCAATAGGATGGCTAAGGTAAAGTTGATTAATTCCATGAATTACGCTGAGCGAATCTGTGATGATTAAAAGTTTATTTTCAGTCGTTGAAGTGGAGTTTTTGATAGCTTTTAATATCGCGGCGGTTTCCAAGGTGTAAATGCTGCAGTGCTGTGGAATTCTAATGGCATATTTGTAATTTTTATTTTTGAAGGCTGCAGCATGGCCATTTTCAGTTTTTGATGCATCTGTGTATATTATGTGGTGATTTGGATACTTCTCCATAATTTCTTTGAATGCATTAATGATAAAGTTAGGATTTGTGGTATTTTTTAAGTACTGTGTTAAAGTTAAATAGGTGATAGATAAGAGGGTAAGCCATGGAGGGAAGTCTAATTTTGTGGTTATGGATAATTTAAATTCATTGCAATTGAATCCTTTTTGAGTGATTCTTTCCCTAAAGTGTTTGTCTTTATATTGTTTGTGTCTATACAAATTGAATGTTGGTGCGTTAATAATCTCAGAATATAATGGGTGCTTTTTATTGGAAGATATTCTTGCTGCATAATTTAAACTAAGTAGATGTCATCTTAGATATAGAGGAGGATCTCTTGATATTACTTGTAAGCTGCTTACAGGACTAGTTCTGAAGACACCGACGGCTAATCTTAGAGCTGTTGTTTGAATTGTGTTAAGGTTTTTTAGGAACGTTTTATTTGCTGTCTCGTAGCATATTGTACCGTAGTCTAGTTTACTGTAAATAATTAATTTGTAGAGATTAAGCCGAATACTGGAATCAGCTCCCCATATATTATTGGATAGAATTTTCAGCAAGTTTATTCTATTTTGACAAGTAAGTTGTAAAGTCGTAATGTGTGTTTTCCAGTTTAATTTGTAATCAAACGTTAAGCCCAAAAAATTCGATTCCTCCAAATGAGATATATTTTGACGATTAAATATTAACGAAACAGGAATGGTATTCTTGCGGTTGCTGAAAACTGTGTAGTGTGTCTTATTAGTTAAAAAGAAGAAGCCTATTTTGGAAGACCTTTCTTCGATTTTGTATAGAAGGTTCTGTAGTATTTTAGCCCCAGATGTAATATTTTTGCACAACCAAATCATCAGCGTATAAGTTTGCTTTATAGGAGGCTTAATTGTATTTATTACATCGTTAAATGCAATTAAAAATAAAGTTGGGCTTAAAATGAAACCTTGTTGTCGAGTATTCTAGTGGTAGAGGTGTATCCATTTACGCTTACTTTTATTTCCCTTTGATTCAGAAAGTTTTTTATAAACGCAATAATGTGTCCTTTAATTCCTCATTTATCAAGTTTATTTAAAATGAGGTATCTCCATGTTGTGTGGAAAGCTTTATTCACATCAAAAAAGACTGCTATAACTTTCTGATCTAGTAAGAATGCATCATGGATGGTTGACTCAAGTGCCACTAAGTTCTCGTTAGCAGATCTTCTTCGTCGAAAACCACTGTGGTCAGGAGATTTTCATTTTCTATATACCATGTAAGCCTGTAATTTAAAATCTTCTCGAAAAGTTTACACATGCTACAGGTGAGGGAAATAGGACGGTAAGATGTGGGACAATCTTTTGGATTGTATTATTTATAAATAGGGATTATAATAGCTTTGGTCCGATTATCAGGAAAGTAATGATTTAAAAAGATGTAATTAAAGATGTCTAAAAGTATCTTTTTGCATTTTTGGGGTGAATTTTTTAAAAATATTGATGGAATATCATCAGGACCTGGGGATGCGGTTTTTAAGTTTAAAATAGACAAATCTAATTCTTCCAAAGTTATGGGTGCATTTATGGGAGAGATCTGGTTGCGAATTTTGATGTCTACAGATTCTGTGGAAATCTTGTTTGTAGAAAAGATTGGATCTAGTACACTATCGCTGGCGTTTTTTTGAAATACGTCTACTAGAATTTCAGGAATTTGGTTTCTACAAGAGATGATTTGGTTGTCATATAAAAGTGCATTTTGTGAGTAAGGTAAACTTGATCCTTTTATTTTTTTTATTTTGTTCCAGATTATATTTGTTGGGGTAGATGTGTTAATGCTTCTAATATATTCAATCTAGGTCTCCTTCTTACCCATTTTTATTAAGAATCGTGTACTAGCTCTCAATCTCTTAAATTTTATTAGGTTTTTTTCTGTTTTATGTCTCTTAAGAACGTTAAAGGCGTACTTGCTAGCAGCCAAGTTTAGTTTGGTTGAATTTTTCCTACAGATGTAGTGGCACAATTTAAGGTAATGTTGTTAAAGTCCGTGACTGTTTTGTGAATGTCATTTGATATCGCATAATTTTCCATCTCGTCTTTCAAGTCTTTTTGAAAAAGTTCCCAGTTTGCTGATTTTATTTTCCATCTTTGATATACATTCGGATTAAGAGGTTGGTTTGTCTCGATTGAAATAAGTAAGGGGAAGTGGTCATTGTCGTGCAGAGTTTTTGCTGTGTTCCATTGAAACATGTGTGCTAGTGATGGGCTACATAGAGTCAGGTCAATTGCAGAGAATGATTCGTTATATGAATTGAATCTTGTTAGCTTTCCAGTGTTTAATAAGATTAAATTTGATTTATTTATCAGACTGTGTAGAAGGTTGCCACATTTATCGATTTTTTGGCTACCCTACGCTGAGTAATGGCAGTTAAAATCGCCTAGAATTACTTTGGGATGGGATAAAATTTATATAAGTGATGTTAGTTCATTCATGTCGTCTTAATTAGGATGCGATAAGTATATATTGCAATCACTGATGTTTTTACTGTAGGTAATTGACACAGCCACAGCTTCTAGGTTTGTAGTAAGTAAAATTATTTTTGGTTTAGTGTCATTTCGAATGAAAGTAGCTACTCCACCACTAGCATGCATGACATTTCTGTTTTTCAAAAATGGCACATAATTTCTAAGTGTTACAAAATTGTTTTTAAAGTGAGATTCTTCCAGACAAATTACAATGGGGAGAAATCGTTTATAAGAAGTTTTAATTGCTCAAGGTGGGTGTAGAATCCATTTAGGTTCCATTGAATTAAAAATGTATCAGACATTATTTATTCTGACTAGTTGTGTTGTTTTTAGATTCTTCTGTAGATGAACAATAATTTAAGGATAATTTTTTCTTAATAGTTGTAATTGTTCTTTTTAAAGAGGGACTTTGAATATGTATCATGTAAACTGTATCATTGTATAAGATAAAGATTGCCATGATGATCGCTAACATTCGTAAGGGATAGGCACATCAAGAAGAAGAAGAATGGTTAACAAACTTAATAACTTTTTTTAAAATATTATATAAAAAATCCACTCCATTCAGTTATTTAATTATGATTATTATTTTGCACCACTTGCTGTACAGTTTTGTTCATGCACGATTGACAATTTTTTGAGATAATTTTATTTTATTTTATCTAATATTTTTGCTAAATTGGAGTTTTTAAAAACATTAAAATCGATAGCAACATATATGTCCAGTTAATATTACAATATAGAATTATCTGGAACATTTAGAAAATGAACTAACAGCTGCCTGTGTATATAAACGGAAGCTGTCAGTGTATTCACTTCATGAATGTGAAATATAAGTCCGGTGCAGTTTGAATTACTGTTAGAAGCTCCTGTTTACCAGTCGGTGTAAAATAGATGGGGATAGGAATTGTTTGATATGGAGATAATTAAATTATCAAAACAGATGGAGCTAGGTTGTATCAATAGGTTGGGACATAAATAAACCGAATCAACCGAACTAAATAAGCTACTTAGAAAATAATTCCAACAGAATTGTTAATATTACTGAAAAAAAATATATTTTGTCCATATATTAAAATCTCATAAATATCAGCCACAATATTATCTATTATCGGCTTGTTTCGCAGTCATATATTTATAGGATGAAATCGTTATTGTTGATTATTGTACTTGCCAGTATCAATTTTGTTTAATTCAATATTGTTTTATATTCCCAAATCTTTTTCTTCTTCATCTTATTATTATATTATATTATTTTATTATCTTATATAAGTCTTTTCCTTATCTTCATATATATGTGATGAACGTCATTGAAATACATCATATGTAAATACGGGACCGATATTTTACGTTACTTACCACCAGAAGAAGATAATATCTTCTTCAGGTATAGGCATATGTAATAATGTATAGGCTATAATGTATAGGCTATAATAAGTAAATTTCTACCTGGTGGTTTGTTATTGGAGACCGTGGGTGGTAGTTTTTGGATTTCTGTTTATAATTGGACTTGGATTCATATCATGTGAAAAGAGCTCTTTTCTTCGTTCCTTTTAGCATCTTATGAGCTTTAACTAAATGTTTTTAGGCTAACGTATATTAATTATCATTATTATTACCCAGCCCTTTGCGTTCACTGCTGTACATAGGGTTCCCTCATTTTTGTCCATAATTCTCTATCTGTTCAACATAAAAACATTCAAGGAATATAAATATCTCGGGTCTATAATATCTAAAGAAGGTACTACCCAAAGAGACATCGAAAACAAAACGTAGCAGGGAAAAAAAACGGTTAACATTCTAAACTCTCTACTATGGTCTAAAGATATTAAACAAGAAACGAAATTGACAATCTATCGAACCTTGGTAGAGCCTATTATGACTTATGGTGCAGAAGTTTGGCAGATCACGAAAAAAGATAGAAAAAGAATAGAAGTAGTAGAAATGTATTTTCTAAGGAGAGCGTGTGGTGTATCCAAAACAGATCATATCAGAAATGAAGATATTAGAAGGAGGACAAATACTGTATATTCCAGTGTACACAGAATTGAAACTAGTGTGGTATGGTCGCGTGAAGCGAATGAATGAAGATAGATGGCCAAAGAAAGCTTTAAATTACATACCACAACAAAGAAGAAGAAGGGAAAGGCCTTCAGTTGCCTGGGAAGAAAATGTACGACACACAGAGATAGAGCCATTAAAGAAGACGAATGGATGGACAGAAAACGATGGCGGTTGAAATGCGAGAGGCGGCAGTGGCTGTAGGAGCCTGGCTTATATATATATATATATATATATATATATATATATATATATATATATATATATATATATATATATATATATATATATATATATATATATATATATATATATATATATATTATATATATATATATATATATTATATATATATATTATATATATATATATATATATTATATATATATATATATATATATATATATATATATATATATATATATTGTTATGATATTAAAATCAAGAAAATATCGGTTTGTTTAAAATATTTCAAAATTCAAAAACATTAAAATAATTCAGATAAGTAGGATAATACCCAACAAACATTTCGAAGAAGGAAAATATTTAAATTTTTGGATTACCTGTATTAAACAAAATGTAAGCTAAGCATAAAATTATTTCCTTTGTTATACTATACTTGAGTAACCCGCATAATTATAAGTGAAATCCCAACGACAATTGAACCGGGTTTTTCCAAATACATTAACGAAGCGATTAAAGACAATAGAAGAGGTTTTAGAAAGAGGTTTTTGTTAGTTTTTAAGAATTATAGAAAAATATTATTTGTAAATAAGTTTTAGGAAATTTTATAATTATAGGTAAAAATTTGTTTGTTATCGGAATGAAAGAATGGGGAATTGTGACGAGTTTTGATTGGCGGAGATTAAAAAAGGTGGGAGGTATGTAGGAATGAAAGTTTAGCTAGATTTCGGAGTGAAAAAAGATAGTTAGTTGGTTTCCAAGGGTGCAAGGTGAACGGCCGTTGTTCTCGGGTAGTTTCCCAGAGGTAGGAAGCAGTAGCAGTGAAAGTTTGTGAGTTTTCGTGTAGTTAGTGTATCTGACAGAAGCTGATCCAGTAAAGTATTGTAAGTCATATTTTTCTACTTATATTCCAAGAGTCACTGTTCAGGCCAACGAGAGATTCAGTTTATCGTAAAGAAAAGATATTCCAAGAGTCATTTTTCACACAGGCCAACGAGAGATTCAGTTTATTGAGAGAAGAAGAAGCTAGCATAATTTGAACGATTCGTGCATTTGAAGGAGATCATTAAGGACGACATACTTGCAATAAATTATTGTAAGATTGCTGATTACTTAGGGAGCGGCCACGAGTAAATAGTATAGTCTACAAATAACAAGGATTTGGACCACTCATCATTAGAGAGAGATAGGTTTGTTTTCTGCAGTTTTTCTTTCATTGATAACACAATTTTTTCACACTTAATTGAGAAAGGATATAAATATTTTGATTAGGAGATTTAGAGTAATACTTGGATTTTGAGATTTCAACTAATATTGTTTGTACCATTAATTTTGATTGTTCACGTACGTAGAACAAAATTTTGAGAATTATTATATGAGATTTTGTTTATTGAAAACTTTTGAGTGTGAATTATTTCATTATTTTTATTTCAATATATAGTGTTAGATCATATGTGTTTTTTATTATTCCGGTATTCTTTGGACCTTACCTTTCACATGTAATAGCATAGATATTGAAGTGCGAATTTAACCCTGAGATAAAAGAATTAAAAATTGTGATAGAGTCATAATCATATCATTTAAATAATTTTAATTAATCAAAAAAATTAATTAGCTAATTATTGCTTGGCGCACCAAGACTTTAAATATCCCAATAACTGGCTTCCAAAACGTGGGGCTTAAAAATATCGCAGCTTTACATGTGAAGGAAGGGAAAGAGATCTGGAATAAGTACAGGTGATCCAGAGATAAAAACATATAACATTGAGGGAATTTGAATTTGAAAGTATTTTGAAAATTTTTTCCAGTGGATATAAATTTGATTTATTGATTGATCGTAGTTAGTTGATATTTACTGCTATTGAATTATTTGATTTTATTTTACCAATCGTACATTTGATATTTATTTTGAATTATTTGATTTTTACTGATTGCATATTTGATATTTGTCGTGAAAATTTATTACAATTGGGGAGAAATATTGTCGTGTTCTGCAACATATAGACTGTTGTAAAATTTCACATTTGGCGGGGACAAAAACAGTAACGAAAAGAAACATGTCGACCACAAGGAGTCAAAGCAAAATGCAGGAAAGGAAGGAGGATAATAGAGAAGAGGAAACAATTGTGGAAGAAGGATCGGATAATGAAGGAATTGTTACAATAGTTGAGGAAAGAAAAGAAACAGGGATGTTAGATAAAATATTTCAACTAATGCAACTCCATTACGAGAAAATGGATAAAATCCACAAAGAAACGTTACGAAAAATGGATGAATTTTCACAAACAATAAATGAAACATCAAAGAAAATGAATAGAAACCAAGAAAAGACAGAACAAACAATAGAGAAAAACCAAGAAGAAACATCACTAAAAATGGAAGAAAACCAACGGGAAACAAGACAAGCAATGGAACAGAAATTAGAAGAAAATGATAGGAAAATGGAAAAGCGTTTGGACAAATATGAAAATGAAAAAAAAGTTAGAGAAGAAAGAGAGAGGAAACTAGAGATGCAGAGATAAGAAATAGAAACTAAAATGAAAAATAATAAGAACGTCCAAAAAAAGGAATTAGAAAAATTAGAAACAAAATTTGAAAACTCGTTACAAGAAGACTTGCGAGAAATAGAAAGAAAAATGGAGGAAATCAAGAAGGAACAAAATTCCGGGGAAAAAAGGGAAATGTTTACCTATGGAACAAGCAAGGCGAAAATACAATTTGGCGGGGATATTAGAAAAACACACCCAGTACTGTTTGTTAAAAATTTGAAAACCAAATTGCAACATGTGAGATATGTTGACGATTGCAAAGAAACTATTAGAAACCATCTGAAAGAAGGAGCAGCATTATGGGATGAAAGCAAAGATGATGAGTTTAAAATTTGGACAGATTTCGAAAATAAATTTCTCAACTATTTATGGTTAAAAAATAAACAGAGGAAAATAAACCAAGAGCTACAGAATGGAAAATATCACGAGAAATGGGAATATCTGAAGAAAGCCAAGTGGAGAAAAATGATGAACATATTTGTTGAAGTTAAAAACTTGGGAAAATTTAAATCGAAAGCATATCCAATCCCGTATAAAGACAGGCAATATACGGGGTTATAATATTCACGACATCTATCAGTATCATGAGTAGATTTTAATAACATAGTGAAATAATTTGATCCTAGAAAACTTTTGTCATTTTTAAAATTTAACAAAGAGTTTTCGGCAGACCAAATGGCGGGGATTTGTTATGATATTAAAATCAAGAAAATATCGGTTTGTTTAAAATATTTCAAAATTCAAAAACATTAAAATAATTCAGATAAGTAGGATAATACCCAACAAACATTTCGAAGAAGGAAAATATTTAAATTTTTGGATTACCTGTATTAAACAAAATGTAAGCTAAGCATAAAATTATTTCCTTTGTTATACTATACTTGAGTGACACGCATAATTTTAAGTGAAATCCCAAAGACAATTGAACCGGGTTTTTCCAAATACATTAACGAAGCGATTAAAGACAATAGAAGAGGTTTTAGAAAGAGGTTTTTGTTAGTTTTTAAGAATTATAGAAAAATATTATTTGTAAATAAGTTTTAGGAAATTTTATAATTATAGGTAAAAATTTGTTTGTTATCGGAATGAAAGAATGGGGAATTGTGACGAGTTTTGATTGGCGGAGATTAAAAAAGGTGGGAGGTATGTAGGAATGAAAGTTTAGCTAGATTTCGGAGTGAAAAAAGATAGTTAGTTGGTTTTCAAGGGTGCAAGGTGAACGGCCGTTGTTGTCGGGTAGTTTCCCAGAGGTAGGAAGCAGTAGCAGTGAAAGTTTGTGAGTTTTCGTGTAGTTAGTGTATCTGACAGAAGCTGATCCAGTAAAATATTGTAAGTCATATTTTTCTACTTATATTCCAAGAGTCACTGTTCAGGCCAACGAGACATTCAGTTTATCGTAAAGAAAAGATATTCCAAGAGTCATTTTTCACTCAGGCCAACGAGAGATTCAGTTTATTGAGAGAAGAAGAAGCTAGCATAATTTGAACGATTCGTGCATTTGAAGGAGATCATTAAGGACGAGATACTTGCAATAAATTATTGTAAGATTGCTGATTACTTAGGGAGCGGCCACGAGTAAATAGTATAGTCTACAAATAACAAGG